TTTTGTAACTGTTACAGTTGATTGTGTTTGTTTGTGTATGTTTGTATTATTAAATGAAATTGTAAATTTAAATAAATGATTTGATTTCTTTGAAAACAGATTGCATTTAGATTAACATATGAGTTTGTATCTTCCACAAAGCTCCTCTTAATATGTCCATTTTTAATAAAATTATATCTTAAAAAAATAGAGAGAGATAGATAAGGAGTACGTCCACAACTTTCATGTCGTTTTGAATTAAAGAATATAACTTGAAAATATTGTATATTATTATTTATAATATTAACGTGTTATAAAAATGACATTAACACGAGAATTATAGAATATATGCTATTTTACTGTTCAAAATATAATCGCTCTTTATGATGGACATGCATAACTTAACAAAGAAATGCCATCGAAAATACACCTGCCATGACTCATAAATAATTTCCATTATGAATTTATTATATGGTTAGTTTATTAAATTCAATATTTTTCTTCCCGAAGATTTTATACTCGACAAAAGAATGTTCAATGTATGAATGATACTACTGAAATGTGTTATTGCGTCAGTAATTATAACATTAAAGGGAGATAATGGTTTGTTTACATTTGGCTTTAACAAATTTTAGAACATACACAATTAACAAAAAGTATAAAGAGAAGCATAACAAACAATTTCGAGATTACTTGAACTTTAAAAGCACACGTGGAATTTTTAGCTAAATTCACTAAACAGTAAGAATCGTATATTTTGGATGAAACTATTTTAACTAATTTTAAACTATTGTAAAGAAGTAGCATATTCGTGTAGAATTCGATGTATGCTCAAAGTAGTGCATGCACATAATTATGGTAAACATCTAGCATACTGGTTAATAGTCAAATGTTAATAATATGGTTAAACTGTGCTTAACAAACAGTGCCAAAGAATTACCTTAATCCTTCAAAATACTCACAACCATATGATATACAAAATTAAAAGTTTTAGTCTTGTAATTTCATTTTTGAATGTGTTGTCATAATATTTTCGGGGTAAACTGTTCAGACACTGGAAAATAGGCGAACCGATAATTTTTCGCATTTGACATTTCCTTCCAACAAGGTGTATTTTAAGTCTAGGAAGGGGCAAGATCTAGCGAATAAGGAAGGTGACGAAGCTCGACAACCGTTTCCTGTTTCAAATATTCTCGTACAATGACAGCTTAGTGTGACGAAGCATTGTTATCGAGCAATCTGACACCAAAGAGACCAGTTGCTGCTAGACGGTTTTTGAAATATTTTATGAAGGACCTTGCCTTTGAAAAGCTTGGCATTTATAGTTGTACCCTTTGGTACGGCAATTGAACAGCAGGACCTTGATTGGAAATGACAATTACATGCATGACGCTTTTGACGCTCATGGTGCTTTTTGCTATGCAATGTCTTTGATCTCCTTTGGTTGCCAAAGTTTTGCTATGTATATTTCTCCTTAGCTCATAAAAGTGAACCAACATTTTATCGCCAGTGATGATGTTTGCGAAAGATTGATTGTTGTAAAAGGTAAAGAGAAAGTTCCTCTTTTATTATAGATAATAGTGTCACCCCTACTGAAATGGCCAGCCATTTCTGATTTATGAGACACCTTTTGCTTGCATATCATGTACCTCACAACTCTTACCACTATGCCAGGCGCCAGGCGGATAGAAATCGGTAACCATTCATTAAAACTACCTCGAAGCTCACGAAGCGGCCATTTTGGTACGAGTCCTTCGAGAAACATTATCCTTCCATTAACACTCTCTGGGGGGCTTGAACCTTCGACCTCCCGATTTGAAGGCGGACGCTTTAACCTTTTGTATTTAGGGATCTGTTTCAACAATTGTTTGGAGATTCTAATCCGAGCAAATATTTGCTATTTTGTTACGAAATGGGGCTTCTATATGGCACTTATCCTTCTCACTTTTTAATCACACCTGAGAAGGTATGAGCGGCTCCTGCAGAGATACCAACGCATTTAGCTGTATTATAACCTAGTTGTAAATCTTGCATCAGAAGCAATCAAATCAATTACTTTTTCAACCATTATTTGCGAAGTTGCAGTTTTCGGACGGCGTGCATGAGGTGCATCTTTTACTTTATCCACACCACTTTTAAATTTCATAACCATCGTGTGACATATGAAAAAGAAAGTTCATTGTTCCCAATTATTCCCATGAATCCGACATATTTCATAAAATGTGTCTACATGTGTCGTGTATACCAAGAATACAGCGGTTCTTGATATAGGACCGTAATTTGTCAATGAAAGGAAACCTTTTCTCAACCATTTTATTAGATTTAATATACACGAGTAGATAGCGTTAATCGAGCTAAGATCAAAGCTAGAGTGAACTGATTTACACATGTATTGTATCAATTGAGAGATTACACAACCATTGTTCGTGCAAAACGTGGTTAAAAGCGAGACATTGACCAAGTTGAATTCATAACTTGAACACGTCTCGTAAAACGGTTTAGGTTGCAGCATCACAAATATAGTAAAACGTTAGTTTCAAATATAGTAAAACGTCAGTTTGATGTTTTTTTTTTGTTGTTGTTGTTTCTACAGACAAAAAGTGTATAGATCATCCAGTAGCCATATAAATGCATGATTCTTATTTAAAATGTATCTTTAGATGAAATTTCATTTAAAAACAAAACGCCAAATACTACAAATATTAGAGTTAGTAGCGTAAAATTCACAAGGAAAATTATCAACTTGAATAGTCGGATATTTCAACTTTCATATCAATCAGTAGACCGACGGACAGACATATAGGTTTTTTTTGTTCGTTTGATTTTACATCACACCGGCACACTGTAAAGGCCATACCGTCATTTTCAAGCTTTGTGGTAGAGGTAACCCCCAGGTGCCATTTCGTGTATTATTTTAGGCAGGATCTTGCACATTAGCACAACCATCGACATTCTGTATAGATATATCAATTATGAGGTTACAGTTAATGAGCTTTGATTAAATTGTTCATGTCAATGATATACATATGTCATTTGCTGAGTAATATATATGAATTTCTTGATTTTAAAAAGTAATTGACTCATGACGCTTTTTTTAAAAGAAATGACAATACTGTGGACACATAATGAAGCAATTGTACTATTAAAACACGATATACTTGTAAGCAAACAATTATTGAAACAATTACATTTTTTTTTATTCTTCAAAGTACTTTAAAATACATCATACAATTTGAAAAAAGTAAAGCTCTAAAATGATTAAGTAAAGGTTTCAAAATGACATTCATACATTCGAAAAGCGATTCTTTATGATATTTCTTTCAATGATAACATCTCACAGGCCATGGTAATGCGATGAATGGAGAAGAAAAAAAACATAAGACAATTTATTAGGAAATTAAAAGATCCAAAAGATTAATCCATATTTTTATAAAACTGTTTCAATCATAACAACCCAAGTACATAATAAGGTGTTCTTACTAAAAGGCAACGGGGTTCATTTTGATTAATAATGTAAGACAACACAAATAATTGCAACACTATTACATCTATTTCATAACTCAAAATAGATATATTTTTGAATAAAAAAGAACATATATACGAGTACATATTTACATTTCCCCAAAACATGTTTAAATAAAATAATCAAACTAAAATGCAAACTGCATTAAGTAAGTCTGCGATTTACGATTTAACTATCAATATGGAAAAAGGCCGTACATGGTTATTTTAAACAAGATAATAACTGAAGGTACTAATACATAAATAAGAAATAATATAAACATATAAATTATATCTAAAATGTGTTCGAGTAATTTCATTCTATAGGTGAAAGCCGCGATCTACACATCAGATGTCGCTGGTCATTATGAACTGTTACCAACTCAATTTAAACACAAAGTCTAGATAAAAACACTGAATGGCTCGTTGTCCAAGTCTTTGCTTACTTAAACCGCCTCAACGGCATTTATTTTTGCGTGTGTGCTGGTCTAAATTGGTTTGGTCTAGAAAAAAAAGACATGCATTTATTAAAAAAAAAATACACGTCAAATAAAAATCATAATGTAAAATTTTATTGTCTTTAACGTTCAAGTAAGAGACGATGGACATCAGGCAAAATCAAACGTTTACATTAAAGTAGATTATGATCAAATGAAAGGAAACGCTTGCCACCTTGCATCCTTTTTTATTCTACAGGTAAAATATTTTTCTAATATTTCCTAAAATATTTATGCAAAGAAGGAAACTTCCTAAAATTTAATAAAATATAACGTTTACGAAAATTATAAAGTTGAAAGAACTGTACACACCATTATCTTTCTCAGAGACGATGATTACATTCTGAAATAGATATTATTGTAACATATAAACTATATAAAGGTAATTTAAAGCATAAACTGTGTGTACATATCCTTTGTCAAAACAAAAACAATTATTATATATGATAAATATGAGAATGAATTAAATCATTAAGATAAAACACAGCAATGCAGACGAATTTTTCTTATGCATAGTTACTGTTTATTATCATAAAAGGTACTTTCAAACTTTGTGTCTTAAATTTGAACACTTCAAACATGATGTTTTTCTTTACATTTAGCAGTGGAAAAACAGAAAAGTTTAAGACAAAAAATCAAATTGAAGACAAAACATGAAACTTCAATAACAACACGAAAATGGAAAATGTGACATTTACTAAAGAACTATTTCTTTGTCGTTTATTTGTATTAGGTAACATGAAAATATAATGCGTTGGAAAATAACTTTAACCTTACAATTTCAGTGGGTTCTATAAAATATTGAACGAAAAACCATAAATGCAGAAAATAATTACCTCTTATGATTATTAAATGACACTCGATTTTGCATCCTCGGTATTTATATAAAGTAAAAGGCTAAGATTCAATTAATATGAACAGTCGTCATATTCTTCCAAATCGATATGTATCAGAGGTTAAAATGTTTAAGTATGCTTTAAAGAACACTTTGAGGTATGATTGTGCTACATTTAAACGCTCTTATTAAACCGATGTGACATTTTCCCTCAAGCATAGAATAATTTTACTTACACGTAAATGGATCTCGGGTAAGAGCGCCTGTTCACCTGGAAAAATATGTTCATATAATAAGCCTCTTAAGAATGAAATCAATTTAAAATAAATAGAGGATATAGAGAAAATGTTATGTGTTCTATTAATACGGGTTTTATTTCCTTTGAGTGGTATGGAGATAAATGTCAGATGAGTGACAGTAGCCACTGTAAAAAAACGGTCATCAAATTTTAATCTAAGAAATGTTGGCCATTTTCATAATCTTTCGAGAAACAAAACAGGGTCAGTTATCTGTTAAGGCATCAAATATGTGCAGTTTGAAAGCAACATTTAAAGTTATATTGATAATCCCTAACGTCATGATGATTTAAATCTTACAAACATAGCAGAACTTATGGCATTTTGTTTATGTAGGCACATTATACTATAGGCATGTTTTTGTTTAATTGTACGGGTGTACCATTTGATCTAGGTCAAATGAAGCCAAAACAAATGATTTCGGCTTACTTTGGGTGTAACAAACTTATATCAACACCAGATATAAAAACTAAATCACCCCCTGAAGCTAAAAATTATAATTAAGTCACTTTATTTTATTAGGTCGCCTGTTACGATAACGATGTGATAAACAATTGCTGCAATTCTACTTCCTTAACCCTTAGAGTTATTTAAGAGTTATGTTCCGGACAATGTTCATGTGTTAATAGGAACAACAAATGGCAATAACTCCAAAATTAGGCATGGCAGAGTTATGGTTCTTGTGCAGGGCACATTTACCCATTGAGATCTATCTATCTACAAAGTTTCATGTTCATATCTCTTATAGTTTTTGAGTTATACCCCGTATAATATTTTTCTAAAATCGGAGATAATTCAAATACATGGTAATACACAGTTATGGTTCTTTGACACTGCACTCCGCCTCAATGCCCGCTACCACTGTGTGTAGTTTAAACAAATTATCTCTATGGGATTTCAAGTTATGCTCCGGACAAGACAAAGGACGGACAGACGTTCTAACAGGAGAGTAATTACTCGTATGTGGCTACTCTATTGTTCTCTCTATTTTTCTTTTTAGCCACACAAAAGAAAATAGCCACATAAAAGCATTACGGAATGAATGACATCAAAGAGAAAGAACAGTTACCTATTGTCCCTCTAGCCACATAATTACTCTCCTGTGAGTGCGGACGAACAGAAGTACGGACGGTCAGACGGACAGAAGGACAAGGCAGCAACTATATGCTCTCCCTTTGGGGAGCATAAAACAAATCAAACAAGTCAAACAAATTCAAAACATGAAATGGTTGATGTTTTAAGCACATAAATTATAATCATAAAAGACATACATGGTGCAGTTAATTCAATTACGCCTGGAGGTTCAAGCCTAACCGCATGATAAAAAGCGTACACCTTTATACAGTAAGAGCAGCCGGGAGAGAGTTCCAGTTTAAATTGTTTAGAATTGGTTTTATCTCTGAACCTGTTGCCTGCTTGCACATGTTGGTTCCCCTGGAATATTATTTTAAGTAGGCGTCAATATTTGTCCTTACAGTTGCTATATAAAAGTATTTTATAAACCAAGAAAGTGAAAAAGACAGATTGGCGAACCAGCAACTCAATTAGCCATTGACGTAATTAAAACAACAAGATAAGTTTTAATCAAATTGATCAACTCGTACATTTATCTTTCATTCTTTATTGTATTCTGCAATGATTTTAATCCTTAATACTAATGATAAGACCACAGGTGTTCAACTGTGGATAAGACCATGCCTGAACATTTGTTCAAATGATAACTTTGTTACTAAAAACAGAAAAATACCCACCGGGTCACATATGATTTCGAAAACGAGGTGGTCTGATTCGTTCCAGGTTTTTGGTGGATCAAAGTCTTTAAGTTCCCATTTTATGTTGCATTCTACACATGAAATTCCTGGCTCATACCAAACATCTTCTATGCTCACTTTTACTTTTGAAATACAAAGAATTCATAATCATTTCTAAAATTTGAAAAGTCTTATTGAAAGCGCCAATGCGCTATATATCTTTTTTTACAATTTTATAATTATTATTAACTAAATAAAACGTGGCAAGCACAAATGAAATAAAACTATTTCATAGTTTTTATTAAACTTATTAATCAAGAACATATCTCTATCCCTAATTATCACAATTACCAAAAAAATGACAGGACAGATTATAAGAAAATATGAATACTAGAGGCATTTTATAGTACAAGTGGTATCTTGAGTGTTTTAACCTAGTTTGGGTAGACTGAAGACGATGAGGGTGGAAACCAAGAAAAAATGGCATTGACCTTCCAAAGGTCAAAATAGGTGATAAAAACTGTGAAACAATATGGTGCGATTTTTTTTTATCAAAATCAAATTAGTATTCAATATTTTTAAAGTTTAACCAATTATGCAATAAATGTTAACACATTTCTAGTAATATAAGGTTAATACGTAAAAATCAGCTCGAGGCCATAAAGGTCATATAAATTTTCATTTCACAAACCATGATTATTATTATCCTTTAAGATAAATCTAGATCTCGTTATTTAAACTAATATCTTATTTAAGTGTCTTCAGAATGAATTTGATACTGACGCTTGAAAGAACTTTACTGTGTTATGCAACGAAGCTCTTAATATGGTTTCATATGTATATTTCTTGTCGCACTCATGAATTGAGTGCCCATTTGTGTATATGTACACATGGCAGAATTTGTCACAGTGAGAAGCATTTGCTTTGATAAATTGTTTAGTCTTTAAAATGTTGTTTTCTGATTCAACAATATAGCAAGCAGCTAAATGTATGTTTACTCGTGGTAATTTTGGTATTTCCGTGGCACAAATCATGTCGACCTCGCAATTTTTCACGTTTGATATTCATTGTAAATGAAGATAAATGACTCAATATTTTTAACAGTTACTGAAAGATATAAATTATATCTATTGTGCTATGTTTGCACGTTTAAGTATGAAAATATGTCTTTGCATGAAACAAATGCGAGAGAAAAAATATGTTGACCTTGTCGGGTAAATTCGCTACCGCCACGATGAGTTATCTACTTGTACATGTTTATATAGTAAACGGGTGCAGGATAGAAATTTTGTTATTGGTGATCACGGGGCGATTATGATAAATGTGCCGAATACCTGTGAGATTAAATACTGTTTCTGTTAATTTTGAGTGTTTGGGTGACTTAGGTTCTGCCTTTCCTGGTTAGCGATAGTGGACTTGTGGTAATGGCAGTAATAGGAAGGGCTTTGTCCCAGTAGGTAATGGTAAGGGACGAATAGTTTAAGGGAGGCTCAGGCTGTGACCATTTAGTAATGTTGGGATTAAGGAGTCCGGATAACTGAAAGAAATACGGTGCCTGTATTATATACGTTATTGTACCTAGTTGTGTAATGGATCGATTCCAGTAGAAACAAATCAGTCAGATTTAACACGAAAACAAATTTAATCTTTATACATCATAGTAACACAGTTTTTCCCTAATGTTGTTGCCTATGGGTCAATAAATGGTAGATGTGTAGATGCTTATTTAGATGAAGCAGGAGTCTCAAAGCTCAAGACAAAGTCTCATACAATGACATCATACTCATTTAGGGTTGTCCGACAGTAATAAGAAAACCTTTAGTGGAGCAAAATAAAATCTAAACTGCAGTTTTCCCTCTTTTCTGGGATTGTGTTATCAATTTCTTTAAGGTATATGAGTAATTTTGGTTTTGAAATTTTCAAAGGACATTATCAGTAATTACCTTATATTTCCTGATTTTTATGACGCAATGGGCCAATCGCATTTGGCAGCTCTGATGAGTAAGAGTAAACTATTTAGAAAATTCTCAGGTGGTTAGTCAAGTTTAAAAACTTTGTTGGAAGAAATACTGGCATACAGTGTCGTGCAAATACAAGTAGGAATCTGAGTAATAACTCTACATGTTGGCATGGTGTGCCAGATAAAATACTTGAAAGCTCTATCTAGCAGATAAGGCAGGGAAGAGTGTAGTGGTCGCTGCGTAAACCCTAAATATAGTAAATGTTTAAAGGAGTATGAACTTTCTAGAATTCCATCTTTTTGCATTCTAGTCTCTTATGTTTTAATGCCTTAAAATATGCAGTATTATCTTAAAAATTACTCCCCCTTATATTGGCCCATAAAAAATGTCCGTTATCTTGGATTCTTTCGGCCATATTGTTTACTTTTTTAAATTCTGTGTTGGTGTCAAATTGGTTTTTACCTAAACATATGTTGTGACAAATTTCAGGCTTTTCCTGCCTTTAAAAGTTTTATTTGATATATCATTCATATAATTATGATAAAGGCATTTGGTAGCCATTTTAGTGGTTAATTTAAAAGGCCATTTCAATAGTCAAAATCAAGTTTTTCAGTTTTGTATCGGATTCAGCATACCCTAAATCGGAAAAATATACCAAGATACCACTTGTACTAAAAAATGCTTCTAGCACCTTATAGAAGGCTAAATTCTCAAAATGAGTCCTGTTTAAAATATCACTTACAAGGCGGTGTCGATACATTCGCTACTAAGGGAGGACTCTTTATCTCATTGAGGATGGTAAATATTTTAATTTCATATTTTTGACCGGGAACGAGATCCGTTATCCTGCTCGATGCTTTATTGGTGTTCTCACATTTATACTGTATATAGAAATATGACAATTACATGAATGTTATTAGGTTTACATGTAGATATTTTATTGTTTCAGGAGTATAAAAGAACCATGTTTTTGAAATATTAGTATACACTAGTAGACAAAGATGAAAAAGACACTGAATGCATTTGATTGAACATATGCACACTATGACAAATAAGTTAGTACGACGATGATATGCGTGATGATGACGCTTTGAATGATTGGTTTTATCATTTCTGTCTCAATTAACTGTTTACAATTATCTACAAAATCAAAATGTTTTCATATTTATAAAATATATTGATATCATATTTAATAATGTTATAAATATAAAGCTATAAGAATAATATAAATCGGCTGCAGTAAATATCCAGAAGCCTTCTTATATTTTAAGATTATCTTGCCACAACACGCGGGAAAATTAAACTTATCCGTGTACATGTGTTTATTATCGTTTGTTATATCTGTCATCGCGGTTACGACCGACTTGTTTATCAAATCGTTTAGGTAGCACGCCACAGATATGTACGCATTTCTTTGATATAGTGACTATTCTGGATTTAAATGACTGGTTGTCTTTAAAATGCATTTTCAGCATAAAATTTGGTTTTGTGACATCTTATATGATCACAGGTTAATTCGAATACATGGCCAGAAATCCCATGCTGTTGACTGTAGATGTCAAGGCTGCATTTCATTTAAACAGAATGCTCGGTAAAAACAAGTCATTTTACAGAAGGGGGTACAAACTTTAAGCAGTATCAAAAGATCTGCAAGGTCAAGCACCTGTTTCTTTGTGATATTTTGCATGTATAGGGAATTGCTAAAGCAGAAACAGTGATACTTTAGCATGTACATCTGTAGGTATTTTTTGCTAGAGGGACGATTTTGTTTTGTTTTGGGTTCCGCACCACAGTAGATTTTGGGCTTCAACGGAATGAATTGCAATATTTTTGATTGCCTGACTTGAAGATTGCATATATTCATTGTATATTTTCAATTTTATGTCATATATGTTCTCAACAAAATGTGTTTTCCCAGGTTGTGTAGTTTGGGATCAGAATTATCGTTGACGTATTGCTTGTACGATGACGTTGACGGCAGGAACTGGAAATTTACTGTGGAGTGCTGTGGTTTTAACTATTTCCTTTCTTTCCCTATACCTATATTTACTATCCTCCTCTTAGACTTTATCTTCTTTTGAAATCATCTTTAGAAAATAGGATGCTTAAGTTCTTCAATGGTTACTATTTTATAATAGAGGGTCCGTTTGCAGAGTTGGCACGAAATTTCTAATTTGTTTCCATGTTTGGAGGCGCTGTGCTTAATTTTTTTTATTACTTTTTCGCCAATAATTATAAGTAAGTTTCGTCTAATATGTACCACTGAGTTGTTGCAAGGTTGAATTTCTTTTTTAATTATTTAATTCTGTTTCATTTAAATAAATAAAAAGAATAAGAGACTGAAGCTGGCATCATTTACAATTTGACATGTGTTTTTAAATCTTTACATGTTGCATTGAATTAAACGAATAAAACAGAGTGTTTCAAGCTCCGAGTTCTATGTAAAGTAATTGTAAACATATATTCTGTTTATTGTGCTGTCTGCTGGTAGTAAATATCAAAATATAAAATCTGCAGAAAACATCAAATTTTATTTCTTCCACAACACATCAAACAACCGTTTTGTTACCTTATTAAGTTTTTAGGGATTATTTTGCATTTCTGTGCATGTGTACTGGTATTAACTGGATCCTTCAAGTTTGTCTATATGTCTGTCTGTATAACAATCTATTATCTGGTGAACGGGCGTATAAAAAGTAATTCTTAAGTAAATCTAACTATGAATTTTGTGTTGGAATCACTTACATGATAGTACCCAAAACGTGATTTGAAATTTTTAACAAATGAAAGAAAATAATTAGAACTTTATTTGAACAAACTTAATAAAAATAATACAAATACCCATACATAAGCCAGTTGTGGAAAGTATCATTTTAGAATTTTTCTTTATCAAATTTAAAGTAGAACAGCAGGATGTAGGAGATCTAAATTTATTTCCCGTGAAGTACATATTTAGTATTGAATACGTAATAGTTATAGAATATATGGCTGGTATTAGCGCATGGGGCGACAACAAGGGTCAATCATAGAAAATTGATCGAGACGGAACGTCGAGATTAATTTGCATGATTGACCCTTTTGTCGCCTTATGCCGGTGAAGTCCGAGTGTTAATTCTGTTACTGTTTTACCGCATGACCATCACGACTTTTTCTGGAAATTTGCGCTCTCTCGTACGTAATATTTGCTTTATTCAAACATATAAATATTTTAAGAAATACCCACAGAAATACACCTATTAGATGCCGTTGAAGGAACTGGACATAAATAACCATTTGACGAGGTATGTTGATGCATTTTTCTTTTTTCTTTTCAGCTCATCTTCAAAATATAATCAAGGAAATATTGTCGATAAGAATCCCGGTGTATATTTCGAGGTATATCTTGTACGCGTATTTTCTAAAACTAACGACAATGTAGTGATTTTTTCTGAACACTACTTCCATGTATTAATAATAAAGCTATTTAGAATATTATGTTCATACTTGTAGTGATTTCCTAAGTTGCTTACTGGTCAGAATCTCCTGTAAAACGAAGGCATTGTTAAAAGCAAAGCAAAAAATAAAATAAAAAGTAAATAAATAAGAAAATAAAGTAATGAATAATTTGATCATTGTTTCAGATTTGTCGTCGAGGTCAGGATGCAGAAAATGGCACTTTCCACTTGAGTCAACATCTTTATAATAACTGCATTTTTAAGTTTTGAAAAAATAAAGATCGAGATGATATGTAATTTGTCAACTGTGTAATGTTTTGTTTTGCTCTTTTTCAGGTATACTCACCTTTATTACTTGAAATAAAATAATAAACTGGGCACGCACGAGAAAGTGTACTGATACCTCTTAGAGCACCCCAAAGTTTTCCAATACTGAAATTTAGAGAACGCCGACCTTCAAAGGAAAGTTGTGGCGGTCATGCGGTGAGTACTGTACACTCTTTGATTGTGCAGAATGTCACAATGGTAAGTGTCGAACAGATGGCCACGTGACCGGTTATTACAATTTCTTTAACCTGGGCTGTTTTTGAACCACAAAGAAAGTTACGATACTCCAAATTAAAGTATTTTTTATCAGTTCTGTTAAATTCAATATGTGACATTAAAGCATGTATTAACCTACAATTGTACTTTAACTGCTCAACATTTTTCAATGTAATTAAACATTTGCATCACATTCAATCTAGATACATTATTAAATTAGGTTAACTAAACTAAATAAATCTTCATGAACATAATCATATTTTTTAACTTTTCAGAACAATAATTAATTCGTAGCTGATGATTTTGCAGATTTGTATACTTTTTCACCGAGCTAACTTACACGCATGCATTATATTTAAATTTTTGAGATCGTTTTTATTTGACATATATTTCAAGATGAATCAAATATATCTCTTTCTTGCCAAATGACGAATTTCGACATTTTTACACTGATTTTCTCAATGAAAGTCAACACGGTCGCGGGGGGGGGGGGGGTACAAAGTATTGCTAATCTTTTCCAATTTTTATAGCACCTTGGCCACAACGATTATTTTTCCGTTTTTGTTAAGGGATATACTTTTAAATATATTATGATACTTTGGACTGTCAGCTTTGTTTATGAATGTCAAGTACATTACTAGTGATTTTTTCTGCCCTACATGTCCTAAACAGATTGCGCATGCGCTAGAAAATGCTTCATCCGGCCAGGTTTGCATAACAATGGGCTTCGTCGTAAAAAGTATTCAAATATTTGTGAGTTTGTGCAATTAAAGCAAATATTTGTGAGTTTGTGCAATTAAAGCGAATACTTAAAATGTTGAATTTTATTAGTTGATACATAAATGTTAAATGTAGGAAACTCGCGTCACTTGTGTGTTTGCAAGCGTGATGTGAACACTTCTGATGTTTACATGGGTACTTTTTAAGCAGATGTCTGTATTTTTCTAGCTATTCTGTTTTTCCTTTAAAACAAAAACAAATTATGTTTTTGCCTAGAGAAAAAGATAAAAATCATTGCGGTAACATTATAGTACATATGTCAAAAACACTTACCAATAGATAAATAAACAGTGAAAGCAACAATAACTATTTTAAGTTTTATAAAAAAAAATATGATTTACCTCACCGTAAGTGACTAGATATTCCAATTTATCCTTGTCGTTGGTATGTTTTGGTTTCGTCCATTGTAAAGCAATCTCTGTTGACTTTGCAGCAGCTTTTAAATTAGTCGGTTTATCTGCTCGTAATAAAATATTTTAGTGAAAATATAGTTTGAACGTTTAGGTTTAATCGCCTAAACTGGTGAAATGATACTGGATGATCAGTGACAGTACCAAAATACCTGTTTTTATCAAGTCAGAGGAACGGAAACTTGACTTTCCTTTCTGAAAATTATTACTTTTTATCTTTTAAAAGAATGCATTAGTAAGCAATATATTTATTTAGTATAGTTGCCAGTCTTATAGTTACTATAATTTGTTTTGCATCAAAATATATTGAATTCAGGGTAGATATCTGACTTAACTGATCTGATCAATCGTATATATATCTTTATGGTCCCCCTCCTTTTCGAAGAAAAAAGGGGAATATAGAAGTTGTACCTATTTTCTAAGCATATTTGGAAAACCGTTTCTTCCGGAGTATATTGCCGAATCATTCTAAATAAATGGTGACGAACAATCTATATGTGGCATCTCTACGGCAACTAAACTTGACCGTAGACGGTTGATATATTCTGAAGCATCTACTTTAGCAGGAAGTGATGCTTCAGGTATCTTCGCCTGCTTACGTTCATTCCGAACACTGTTTGCATAGTGTTTTTTTTATGTTACAACAATGAAAAACGTGTATGCAAACAGTAGTGTAACAGCGAAAAGTAACATGCATCAGGACAAACAAATCTGAAGTAAAAATGCCTTTTGTTTTGCATATTAGAACTTTGTAACAGGCTTTAAAAAGGGATACAAATGCTGAAAAAAAAACACCCAAAAAACAGCTTCTACACTTAACGTCTGCTGATTATGGGCGTGATTGCGTGAAAAATAATAAGAAATTTGAAAATTTACAACAATTTTTTTCTGATCATATAATAACACAGTTAGCACATGAATCTATTTGCGTATATCTTTACTTCTCCCTTATGTTTAATTCACCTCGGCATTCGGCCTCGATGTATTATACATTAGGGAAGTCAATAACTCATCATCATATAATAATTGATTCATAGTTGTCAGTAGAATTGTACACATGTTTGCTATCGGATGACACAATAAAACGCTCATGATTTTATTATGAGTTACTTCCTAAACAATTCTAACAGTAATATGAAATAAATGTCACTGTACATGAACATACTTAACGATTTTGATATAGGCACTGATAATAAACGAAACTCATTTCTTTACTCAAACAATTTCAATGTAAGACGAAACAACATAAAGAACATTCATGTTGAACCTCTCTATTTGCTATTTACTATTAATTCTGGACGTTTGTAACTTCACTTTTTATTGGATTATCGTAACGTTTATAGTTTTATATACACATCTGCTGTCAACTTTCTAAGAAATCTTACTTTTTTCTCAAAAGAACGGAAGTTGCTGTATTATAAATTTGTTATAAATATTACGGACATGTTATATGACCTAGCGGCTTGGGTTATATTTCCAAACAGCCGTTTATATAGGACCATATTACCTGTAAAACTATTTATAACTAATATTATACTAATTTGAATTTTAAGTATTTTGATTTAAATGAAAATTTAAAAATAAAAATTATATAACAATAAAAGTGATACGATTTAAAAATCAGCAGACTTTAAGTGCAAATAAATCATAAACATAAAGTACGTACATGGTATTGTGAGTTCCATCATGGCAGGTTCAAATGTAACCGGGTGGTAAACAGGGTAAACATATACAGAGTAGGAACGACCTGGATATAGTTTCGGTATAGTATAGCTTGAAACTCTTATCGTTTCCTTTGTATGGACCACTTGTCCCTCCTGAAAAATTATGTTACATACGACCGTGTAAGTATTTGTCTTGACAGCTGTTATATAGTTGTTATTTTAACAGAAGAAGAAAGAGAATGAACGAATACTCAATAATTTCATATGGGATTAACGTTAGTAAATACATTTATATCTGAATAAATCAAATTTACATAAAAAATATTCATTCAATCACTACATATCTTATTAATTTTTCTTACACTTTTCTTTAAAAAAACCGTCTTTATTTCAAAATCAAACATTTTGATATCACAAAATATACCTACTGAATAACATATAACATTAAAATATAAATTGTTTGATTCGTTTAAGTGTCCTGGTATATCATCATCGTGCTCTGGTATAACAACGTCTTCAATAGTCCACTTTATGTTGCATTCTACACATGACTCTCCTGGCTGAGAGCAAACATCTCTCAGGCTCACTTTCACTATTACATTTGAAATAAGAACAGATAAAAAAGGTTTTAGTAACATTTTTTATCTAGTTGGAATGTATCTGTGAAATTAATTTCTCAATATGTTTATAGTTATATTAGATAAAGAAAGTGAAGATAATTATTAATGAAAACAATTAGAACAAATGCTAGCTGGTGTCTCATTTGCCTTTCGGATGCTCGATTAGTCTGTCCGTGTTTATAAACCAAGAAAATGAAAACACTTTGTTTGTTTGAGAATTTATTACGGATTTATTTCTTATTGTAAAGTTAAAAAATCCGTCTCAAAGGGCGCTGCCTAAAATGCTAAAATAATAACTCAAAACAAAAACGAAATTATGTCTTACAATCCGTTGTTGTAATTTTCTTTGCAAACAGAAGACAGTTCTTTTTATTGTCTATGGCAAATACTTCAATTTTATACGTCGTACGAGGCATGAGATTTGTTATCGTACTTTCGGTTTGGTCCGTGTTTTCTTTCTCAAACTGAAAAAAATATTCTGTACTCTCAACGTTTTTATATTGTAGAGTTACCCTTAATTGGATTATATTATATTAAAATGAGTAGATAGTATCAAGAAACGTGCCAAAAGGACACTAAAATACCCTCACTTCATTTATTTGTCCCAATGACATCTACTCAATGCAAATTTTTTAATATTCAAGAGTTAAACTAGTAAGCCATTCTATCTTACTCAAATCTATCTCATTAAAATCATAAATTTGTTAAAGGATTTCACCCTACCTTTCATTGAGACTTTTTGCTATGACCTAATATTCTCAAATCAATAAGTGTGAAATACTGGCCATAGTATTTGTCAGTACAAAACTTCACAACTTGAAAACACTGTGAAGAGACCTCAGACTTAAAATCTCACAAGGTCAGTAGAAGTCAGCTTTTGGTCATAAGCAAGGTTCAAACAATTTTTCAAACAACAAATTAAAAAATATATATATTCTCTAGTTATTTATAAAATGCCAATTTTATACAAATTTCTGCTTTGACTTGACTTTTGACCTAAATGGCAATAATCCTGCCAAGTTCAATAAACTAAGCCTTACTCCGTATTAATCATTTTGTTATTGATCGGATTTAAGTTTTACATTTATTGTCACTCGAAACGCGAAGGTCGAAATAACGAAATGACGGAAGATTTCCGTGTTGTTGTGCTTTCGTCCAGAACTGCGAAAGTCAAAGTAACGACAATGACATTGTTTCGGGTTTCGCCTTTCGGTATGCATGCGCAGAACGGTAAACATTAATGATCGACCAAACTTCTATCTAGCAGAGTCGGGTAAAATAAAAAGTTCCAGTACACGGAATCCGGAACACAGGATATTATCCGCCTTACGCTGGATAGTTTCCTACCTGTAACTATTTGACTTGAAAACCTTCAATGCCTTTGAACAATGCAATATTACACTCTCAGTAGTCGGATCATTCAATAATAAATACAGTTAATGAAAATGAAGTATATAAAAAGCTCGGGAAAGTCATACAAAATTGATTTGAATATACAGGTTGTCGCACATTCCGGGAAAATAACGCCCGGTAAGTGTTGTTTATCCATCAGCTCGTGACATTGGGCATGTGACACCAGCATCGCGGCTCGGTCACGGATGGGACACGAACGCAGACTACAGGCATGCCTTACAATGTCTCTATATTGGAGCAGAAGGGCACAGAAAGAGCCAAAACGAGCGTCGTACCCCCAGCGACCACACTTTTTTCAGCCCATTTTGGCTAAATTACGGCCTCAAATCTGGGATATAAGCGGGACATTTGACACCACTTACTACCTATGGGCGTTCAGGTATGCCCATGGCCTTATAAAAACCGGAGAGATTAGGCCGCCAGCTTGTGGAAGGATATGTTTGATCTTTATGTTCGCTAGGCTAGGTTTCCACGTCAAAAGGACCACCTGGCACGTGTTGGTCAGCCCTGAGCTAATGACATAGGACATGTGACACCAGCATCGGGCTCAAACGTATGCTAAACGTACAGAGGGAAATATCGAAGAAAAATAATAAACACTGAAATTTCGAAACAACGTAAGTAACCTTCTTAATGTAATTTTGTTTCGAAAGTGAACACCTAACATCTGAGTAAACATTAGATAATTATATTTATAAATACTAATTTAAAATGCAAAAATATATGAAGTTATGTACATTAATATCAACTTAACACATCAAGATCATGTTATATATTGGGCATTTATTGAACATCATAATCTGATTGTACCAGATAAGCTGCCTTTTTAGTGTGTTATTCTTTGCGTGACTATGAACGTTAATGGTGGTCTTGTTATTTTGACGAACGTTATAAGTTCTTGTGTAAATTAAATTAAGTATGTTCTTAGGTAAAATAAACTGTTCACTTTGTACCTAGCAACTGATTTGTTATCGTTGAAAAAAAAGAACTAACAAGTTGGTATAAAGGTATAAAGTTTTAAGTTTTACCACCTCATTGCACGTGACTTGGTATTTCAATTGCAGGTTATTAATACAATCAGGTTTAGTCCACCGTACATCAATACTTGTTGACATTGCATCATATCCTTGATCATTCGGCATACCTAGTCGGAATGAAATAAAATGCAATATTGATACAATATATTACTATATTTTATGCAAGGTAAGTTATCTTAAATAGTTATTGTTGATGAATATATAAAACTATAAAAAAATAATCAAAGTATCAAGAATTTAGTTTTTGGAAATTCATAGGCACACAACTCGATATACAGAAACTCTCTAACTTTATTGAACTGTAATCCCAAAAACGAAAGATAATAGTCTTGCGCTATTAGATTTGATATTTTCAAATACAGTTACAGTCACAGGAAACATATTTTTACCTCTGTTTTATTAAAAACCTAATTATTCTTCAGAAACATAAAGTGTACTCCATGTTTGTAATTATTCGTTATGGAGATAATTTAAGTAATAGAAAGTACTTAAATAGGTTACGCTAACTATCATAGCGTACCATGTTTTCGTGTAATTACATATCTTTTTGTTGCTGAACCCTTAAAACAACATAATTTCCTGGATACACTTATCTCATAAATAGCCATTGGATCGAGATATTTCAGTGTATGATATTTTGTCTTTGTGGAATGTTTTTGCATGGTATCCGTCACTTGCCATTTTATCTGAAAGATTTTAAACAGAAATAATGTTACACATAATTAAAAAATTGTTACGGTCACTCTTAAAAATGAAACCGGATAAAAACAATTGTTCTTATTTGCTTTATAAAATAAATGGACTTTTCTTGATTGTTTCATTAATAGTTTTTTTTTGAAAATATACACCATGTTCTGTTCACCGATCATTTACACATTGATAGACATTATGCCATTTTAATTATCTCCAATGTCTTGAATGTCTTTAATATATAGTTGTCTCTGTATGAATGCAATCCATTCATAAATAACAAACTAACGAGCAAGTTTAACACTGACATTTAGAATAGTCCAAAGGGTTGTTGTATCTATTTTTTAAGGCAATCGATTAAGAAAATATGAGCATGACTAACGTTTATTTTTCGGACGGGAACAGCATCGTCACAAACAAAAATATTATAGAGAAAGCGAAATTCTTGCTTTGAATTGCTCTTCAGTTATGAGTTTAAGCACTTCTATTCAAATTTTTAAATTTACATTTTCAAGTCTATCTTTAAGGTGTTTTCGAAGAAATGCTTTCGTTAAAAAAAGTACGAAAATGACGGTTTAATGGTTTCGCATATCTCCTTGTTCCTGTTTGTTTTGTTAAAATTTAGGGAAACTATCTTGTCTTAATCTAGGCTTTTAATGTAGACAAAAATGTACATTTTTATGATCAGATTTAGCAAAGGTAGATAATACAATTTAGACAGACTAGATAATAGAGTTGACGTGATTGCATAAGTCCCATTTGTCATCTATAAACATTTTATAAGCTTCAACTCAATCATATGCTAAGTTTTTTGGATTTATTCTTTAAACCAAAAATCTGTACGATACTCACAATTTTGGCGGAACAGAATAAACATACTTGGTAACGAACGATGTTATATCCAAAAATCCTTTGACAATTTAGGCGGTCAGTCCATTCTAAATCTATTGTTGTGTCCTTTAGTTCAATCTTTGTAAATGTTGGTCGTACTGAAATATTAGATAATAAAACTGCTTTTGATATTGTCATAGTGGAACAATAATACGGGCTAGTTGTAATTTACGGGTTTATTTATTTATTTATTATCAAATAAATATAATGTTTCACCAAAATACCTTTTCTTCTGAACAATGACCAAAACAAAAGTGAAATATTAAACGTAAAAAGTATTTCGAAGGAATCAAATATTGGTAATAATTTTCATTTTATCAACATTATATTTCTCAATTTAGTCTGGAGTTCATTCTTCTTGCACTACGTGTCGCCCTTTGCATTTTTCTTACTCAATATTGACATGTTATTTGTCTTTAATACATAATTTAGAATGAAAATCAATGACGAAATAAAATGTACACTCATCTGGATTAATTGCAAAAATGCAATTTCATTTTGCCTAAGTAGAGAATAAGCATCGCTCGATTACTTATTCAACGCTCACCAAATTAACCTTAGTGAGCTGCTTGAAAGTGTGTTAAGATTAACATTCAAGATATTATTTTCATCCAATAAATCTTTGAAAACAGGAAAATTATTCCATAGAACACTTTTTCCCTTATGTTCATTTTTTGATGAATTAACGGACGTCTGAAACGACCATGGGTCAACGGAACGGACGAGGAAAAGTCAAAGTTATTCATAATCACTAACTTATTGTGTCATTATAAAAAATGCTTATTTCATATCGCACATATTTTTATGTAAAACCAGGTAGTCTCTGTGCATTTATAATGATTTCTGAGGTAATGATGGATCTAATATTGAGCTAAAAATGTTAGTAATGTGTAGCACACCCTACTTTCAATATAAAACATTTTTGAAAGAAAGCTGCTGTGTATTAAAACAAAACTGCAAATATTGGACGCTAAAAAAGAATAAAATAAGCTTTCTGAAAAATTAATTGTAAATTACAAAAATACAGACATGATTTTAAAAAAAAAATGAGATAATTGTGTTTAAGGGTTTGAGTGACAAAGAGCAACTCTTTCTGTTAAAGTGTTTCATTTTTTTGGAACAAGAGTAATAATATTATAAGCATGCTCTGTTTGAATATAATCCAGTATACCAGAAAATTTCTTAATTCTTTATATAAAGCATCCCTACTCCAACATTTGTACGTTTGAAGGGCAGGGCATAGTTTTGGTATTGAGCCTCTGACGACTGGACAATGAAGTGGTTTTGTTTCTGATGCGGCAAGAAGGTTACAATTGAAAGTCCATAAAACTAATCATATCTGAACTTGAAATTTTATCAGTTATTACTATTTAGAAATCGTTTTTACATCATAATAGCAAACCAAGCTAACATAGAAAATCTCTTGTTTTTTTATGCAAACAATATGAATATTTTGATGTTCATAATGGTAACGAAAATTAGGTAGTTTAACTTTTACACATACTTTTGCATTCTATTTCAAAGACGCAATGCTGGAATTTGAAGTTTTTGATTTATTGATTACCATTTTGTGTTTGTTTCGTATCTCATTAACGGTTAATTTTTTTTGTGACTACCCAATACTTAAAACAATAGTGCATTCGATATTCACTCAAACTCATTCAACGTTTTATCGCGCCCTACCAAAACGAGTATTCAGTATAAAATGTTTGTACTTATGACTTCTTTTCGTCAATTCGTATTGCAAAGGAAAGTTTAAGAGAATAAATAGTAGCAGGCGTAATTGACGTAATGTATTTTGTCTCATTAGAATAATCAGGAGATTAGAAATTAACTTGACAGATGTAAATAAGTTCTAATGCAATGAAATTGGTAATATGTATTTTAGTTATATATTTTCAGAGACGAAAATGAATTTCATTCAAAAGTAATACACAAATACGAATGTTCCTGCACACTTAAAAAATGTGTAATTAGGGATTTTTCAATCAATCTAGTCCCTGGTGGACGATATTGAAATCTGAGAATTTTGTGCTTTTATTTATTTGATGATATGTTCTCTCATGTATATCTGCATTACATTTGGCTGCTTAAAATGATTCAGGTCCTTTGTACGAATATCACGTTGAATAGAACATCAAGCGTCGGATTAAAACCGTAAACAGAGCATATATTATGGAGTAGCTTAAACTTAGATAAACTGTCACAAATACTTAAAAATCGCATCAGTAAGAAAACATTAAATGATAAATGTAATGATCTTCTTTCGCAATTAACTAATTTTACAAGTCTTCGAATAAAGAACAACGTAACACTTTTACTAAATACGGGTAATCATTGGATAAGGTTAATTTGGTGCTCTACTTTTGAGTCGATACGAACTAATCACCCGACATACCGCCCGAAATCTGACCTACTTTTGCAATTTACCCCAATTCTTGCTTAAGGAGGCATATTCATAATCGGGAACGGTATAATTATTAACTTTATATTGTATCTATAAAGGTTAATAGATGAAATGAAATTAATGAACAAAACTTACCGAAGTAAAAAAGAATGATGACTGCAAAGATAATTAACAAAGAGACAGTTCCAAAACAAATGCTGAAAATACACAACCTATCGCAGGGTAACACAGCACTTTCAATCGGTGTATTCCCTGCAATGAATCAGAAAATTATTTTACACGTATATCGTTATAGTAAGGAGTAACAAACTTCATAAAGAACGCCTGTTATACACTTACCTTGTATCTTACAGATTTTACAATGTTTTATAGTAAAAATGATTAATATAACAGTTTCCGGGTATGTATCTGAAAAATCAAGTGAATGGAAAACAAATGTGGTTAACATGAAATGTGCACATTAAATATAGCAATGGCAATTTGGACGAAGAAGAGACCAGTTGCGATGATTTCTGAATCAACACATTTTTAATTTTATAATAATATTATTTTTTAAAAGTATTAAACCCCTATTTCGAAATGTATGTTCTTACAAAGGCAAAACAATAACGGGACATTTAACTAGCGGTAATAATTTTATTTCACTTTGCTTGAATAATTGTGATCTAAACAAACTATGTCAGAGGAAACCATAACAGATATCTCAAATACATGCAATTAAATCACTTATTGTTGGCTGTCATGGATTTTATAAGAACAAATTACATTCAGCGATTCCGCGGCATTTACGATTCTTTCCTTGCGATTAAACTTCAGTCAAGATCATGGTCTATATCAGGTAAAGAAATTCTTTAATAGCTTTATCATATTGCAAAAGAAATTCAATGTCTTGAATCTTGATTTCAACAGTGTTACAAACAGTTTCTTCAATAAGTTAAGATTCCAATTCGTTTGCAATTTTAGAATAAATACATTTTGTATAAAGAAAATATAAACACAACTGGTTTGGGTCTAAGAAAATATCAGCAAAAGTCCAACGTTTACAATTAATAATTGCATTAGTTCTCGGACACATCTTTCTTGATTAAGTAATCATGTTACTTATGAATAATTCTTTAAAGTGATCAAATTGATATTTTTGTATTTGTGTTGGTCTTTCAAAATTGAAAATCACATATATATAGATATTGATATATGATGTAAAATGTTATTGCGCTCTATATAATTTAGGCGCATTATGCACCTGGCCAGGCAGCCAGCCAAAACACAGATTTGGGATTTCGAAAGATCAAGGTGATACACATTGTTTAAGACATACGAAATGTGGTGTATGTAGCCGACAAAATTAATTTCAAAATATCAGGCTGCAATATTATCAAAACGGGACTTTGTGAATGTAGAATTTTTTAATTTAATCTCAGATTTTTAAAAGATAATACAAAATTATAATAAATTATGGACATTGTGAAATTAAGGTTCCTAGTTTAAAACTCATCACAGAAACAAAGGTGCGCGGATATGAATGGTGAATGTATAAACACTATCATTTGGAGATCTGCAATCGATAAAACAATATCGTCAGCTTTTTATTGATTCTGCTTCTATAGTGTCAAAGACACAAAGCCTAGATATGTCTGGTCTTCTTATTTTTGAGCTACAGCGTCTTTGGAATTTTACAAATACAAAAAAATAAATACAATGATACTTTTTTAGTGTAGTGCTTACCTTTTACTGTGTAATAATATCTTGATGTTAAATTAAGTTGAGAATTTGTCGAGACATGATACAAGGACACCTTAAAAAGACCAGTTTTCGTTCCAGACCCTGATGCCTCACTATGCTCAAATCCAATTATTCTCTGTCCATTAACATCAGTGTCGCAATTTACACACGGAGAGTTTTCTTTCTCTATCGTGTCGATAATGTTTGTATCATATACAACATATCTTTCTTCCAATCCATCCTTTAACACATTTGACATAAAATATTGCCATTATGCATTAATGAGTGCATTGTGTATATCAAAGGTAGCATAAAAAATTAATTTGCATGAGAACGGAAACTACTGTTTTGTTGTTATACAATAACAATTTTATAGGCGACAAAACTACTACAAATCACAATCTCTACTGGCGTTCAGCATAAGACTTATAAAAAAACCAACATTACATGACCTTTTGTACTGTTTCACAATTCATCGAAATAATAAAAGCAATAGTCAAATGCATGATTTCACATTGAATGATTAAACCTAATACTAGTAAGCTTAATTATGTGTGTCAGTGATTTTTTTGTAAAAGTAAGTACTAACTTATAAGAGCGAGGAAAGCCGTTCAGTTTTTTCACTATCATTTCAGAACAAAAGTATATTAAATAAAATAATGCAGAACACATTTTACTTACAACAATGAAATACCAATCATACTGCACGTCCGAGAAACCAGAAATACAACCAGTTGTCACAGAAATAATACCGTTGGTATTGTTTGACCCTGGCTCTGCCATTGATGTTGGGAAGGTCGTATCAAATACTGAAATATACACTTTTTGTTTTGAATGGTATATAGGTTTTCGGACAAAGTTCGTCTGGGAACGGTTTTACTTTCCATACATTGAAGAACTGAATATTGATAAAAATCTTAATGGTTATTTAAGAATCACAAACTTAATTTAGGGAAGCTTCTTGACATTCTAAAATTATTTTTGTGATGAAAAAGTCTATGAAACATATGTCCAAATGTAAAATAATCTTGAGGATGACCGTAAAATAAAGTTTTTAGTTAAATGTTTCGGATTATTGAAACGTTTGAACAAAGCTTCTTGTTAACAAATAAACACATCTATATAAATTTCATTAATTCTTTAGCAAAAAGCTAAATCAATAAATGAGTTCAAGTGGACATTTTATAGAGTTTGGCCAAATAACGTGACTACTTATCACATCTCGGTAGCTTGGTAAAATATGATGATTAATTAGCTCAAATGATTTCAAATTGAAACATGTCATATATTTGTGAACATTTATAAAACATAAATTAAAGTGTTCAAAAATGCACAGTCATATGAGTACTGAAACACGACAGGTTTAATTAGAAACATATCTTGTAGTGTTTATAGATGCTAGAGCTATGGCAAAATTCTGAATGTAACCTATGCAATTTTTTTTTATTTTTATTTATTTCTTCTTCATAAAAATGTTTTTGTTTCTTTTCATTTAAATCAATAAATAGATCATAAAACAAATATCTATAACAACAAATAGTGAAAGAAAAAAGAAATACCCTACCTAAAGACGAAGGGATAATCGACTGCTTAATGCTACCATCACTTGTATCTTTACATGTTATCTTTGAACAATTACTATAATTATATAAATTTATAGTCATCATATAAACGTTTCCAGTCGTGTTGATAGAGTAATTGTAACCACTGTATATAGGTAGACATTCTTTGGACAGTCCACAGTTTGAGTTGAATTCATCATCAACCAACCAGTCTATATCTGTTCCCGGTGCGTTCTTGCATACGCATGTCACATCAGATTGTATCAAAGGATTAACGCTGTCACATGTTACATCGATAGCAGCTAAAATCAAAGCAAAACATACAAATAAGAGGTATTTACTTCTTTAAAAGTTAACATCATTGTGTCAGTGAATTAAACATTATTTATTATCGAAGTGAAACAAAGTTAACCTGAACTTAGTTACAAAACATGTACTTGTATAAGACAGCATCTTAGAACAGTGTATTTAATTTAATGAAAAATAAATTGCATATAGCTTGATCTGAAATATCTCGACAGTTAGAATTATGACAATACAAACCATTTAGGTATCAGTTTGTTTTTCTTTGTATGCACATTGTAAATAAAAAATCGTTTAAAGATAAACATATTTCATGAGAATAACTTTTATATGTACTGAAGCCCTAAGAAGAGCACATGTTATCCCGCTTGGGATATAAATATTACAATATAATATTTTTAAAATATATTTCTTTTCATAGGAAAATATGAATAACGAGCTTGGACGTTCCTAGATAAAATCAATATCATATAAGGAATTTTCACTTTCTTTAAAAGAGCGTCAACAACAAATGATACACAGTGCTAAAAATAGTACATTTGCCAACATATAAATTTGACTCCATCTGTTTGTTTGTTTGTTTGTTTCATTTTACGCCCTTTTCAAACAGTATTTCAGTCATATAGGCGGGTAGTTTCCTAACCATCGTTCCTGGAGAGTTACACCAGTACAAGACTACCTTCCTCCGCGCTAAACTACCAAAGCATCTCCCGGGGTTCGAACCCACGCCAGAGAGGTAACTGGAATAGAAGTCAGGGACTCTAACCCCTCGACCACGGAGGCGGTATACCCCCATCTAAATATGAAAACGAAATATACAGCACACCGGCATATTAAACAGAAAGATAATGTAACAATTTTAAAATGTATCGATGACAACGTAATTATCAATATTAAGCATAAAACATGTAACTGTTTTTTTTTTTGAATAACTAAATAGTTAAATTAGCCATATAAAATGACATAGGTATATCTCTTTTTTATCGAGCCATCGTTTTTATTTTAGATGAATTGGCAGTAAGTGTTTATACTTGACTGAAAGAGTAAATATCAATAGCTTATTAAGATATATTAAGGTATAATGTAATCAAATTTATTTTTACAAACTATTTCTGTTTTAGTAAGTATCAAACATACCATTATGCAATAGTTTAATCTACATGTTAAATTTGCAATATACATTGAATCGATTCGTGGCTGACGTCTAACAAAAGCACGATACGAGAAAATACTTAAAATTCGAATAACTGTAGTCATGACAGCAAGAACATAAAAATTACTGGGATCATTTCAATAGTATCTCGTGATATATTTTGTACGAAGTTCTTTAAATATATTACATTGTTTTACACATGTTATTACATCTTACAATATGTTACATATATGGCGAATGCATTCATTAAAAGGAACATATACTGGTTTTCTCCATCGTCTACATACAACAGTTAATTTATGAGATGGCGTTCGTAAACGTTCTAAAGCTATTCTGTACTCACTATATTTATATCACCTAGATATTTGTTAATATTAAAACTGACAAGTGTTCTAAAACCGCGCTATTATCGAGTTTTCGAATAAGTTTTTAAAATGAACCAGCCTTATATATTTTAGCCAGTGCTTTAATATTAATAAAAAAGTTCTTTATTTTCAAACTAATTTTCATTATCTAACCATACATATTCATTTTCATATTTTCATGTTTAATGTGTCATACATATTGCTGCATATCATGGCTTTGTTGTTTTCTTCAAAGAGAAATATGTAAGAGACTTATATTTAGTTTGTTTTTCACAATACTATTAAGCGAGTTTAGAAAACAATATGTAAAATAATTGCCAACAGTGCTAGGATTCACTTGCATCTCTGCACTGAAATTTTGCACATTTCAGCACAATTATAAAAATTGTAAAAATTGTAACGGGCTTACTATTCTGTAAAAAGTTAGAATTTATGTTACGTATATTACTCTAAAATCTTAACAAGCGACGAATATGCTAAAGTGATAAAATAACTGAAGTTTGTGCCCATACCAGAACATTCGATAATGTTTGCATTTTTTAAAAATGTTAGAGTAAAGTTTATAAATGTGTTAAGATATTTTTATAAAGTTAACTTAAAATTGAACTATACAACATATTCTTGAAGGAACAGATTAAAATGAATGCATCACTATTTGTTTTCATTATCATTTTCTTGTTAAAATAAATAATGAAACCTCGTACTCACTGATTACACTTAGAAACAAGTGAAACAGTAAAATCGTCTTAGTTACAGAATTCATGGTGAATCTGAAATCAAACAAATAATAATACCATGAAAATGATGTTATGACAGTAAATTTCAACATATTAAGTTATTTCATGTATTCCGAAATCACAGAGCATGCACAATTAGCAACAACATCTGGCTGGCACTAGATGTATAGCACTGAATTACATGGTAGGGTCTGGCAAAGCTTTCGAATTCAATGGGAAAAAAACTAAGAATGTGATAGGTGTATGCTTTAAATTAATAGCAATTGTAACAGTTACTGTACTTCATTTACCTCCGTTAACTATTTCCTAATGTTAATACCGATTACCGATAAAAGTTTGAGTCCTACACAACATTAACAACAGCACGCATATCAATATCATATGCGCCGCTTGGAAGGCATGACTTTAAAACGCTGTGTAAAAAGATTTTAACGCAACATTCTCATTTTTTTCATGAAATGTTGCAGCATGTCACGCTAAATTCAGTTGCGTTGGCATCATATTTGCATAACTTTTTCTGCGCTCTACCATGTTTAATGAATTCAGGATATTGAAATAACAGCGTTTTTTCAAGCCTGATAACATTGGTTGCTATTGATACACTTCATACCGTTCAAGTATTAAGGTATGACCACCGCCGAGCACTATATGGAGATGAAAAATTGACAACATATGTCAGATACAATGTATATGCATTAAAGGATACTTGCATGTAACATTTAAACAAACTTTACTGTATTGTAAACGAGTAAAGTCAATTTTTCTGAAGCAGTTTGTGTGAACTTATATGTAATTTTTTTGCTTATAATTTCAAAAAAGAGTACATAGTATTTCAGTAATTTTATCACCGATCCAACCCCGTTTGAGTTTGCTTTCTGTAACCGATGGCCGTTTACACAGGAAACCAGAAATAAAATCACGCATGACAACCGATCATAATAGCGAGTAAATTTAAAATTAAATGACGATTGGGGACCGACCGTCTGTGTAACTGGCCCTTAACTTTTCATATTAATACGTCCGTATAAAAATAGTTCCCTTAATGATTTAATTGATGATCATATAGTTATTGTCTTAGTGGCATCATTATAGTACAAATAAAATACTTGACAATTATTTAATCTAATTAATGTAATGTGTAGTAAGGTTTTATCTAATAACTTAATCCACAGTACATGTGTGTAATAAACCCATATAATATTAATGATATTACACGCGCTAATGTTAGCGTTAAACTTTAGGCGAACAAACAACGAAAAATGACTTTTTAACTGTGTACGGTTTTTATTCTAAATACGCGGTGTTAAAAATGAAGATTCTACATTTACTTAATTATTTAACTCGTTGAATAAAGCAATATTATACTCTCCAGAAGCTCGCATAATAGGACTTTATTCATCAATCATTGAATTTACACTCAGTCAGTATCCTCTATTTATTACACTCCTGTTTATGTGGTAAACAGTTCTAATTCTGAATATAAAACAAATTAAATTTTATATCCATGTTGATTTAATATTGAACTCGTTGATATAAACACTATTATGACAGTATATGTCTTTATTAAACGAGTTCAAACATTTAGTATTAAAATTACAGTCATTAGAATTCCTCTATTTGGTATCGGTGACAGTATTTAATCTGCGACTATTAGTTACATTGATCGAGCTAAAACGGCAAGAAAGAATTTGACATTTTTTTTCTGAAATAACTGATGATAGAGATAAATTATCATGCAATTATTTTCTGTTAATTTTAGGTGAGTTTCATCACTCGGAAATAAAAAGAGCTTTACAGCTCTCATTAAACTTTTAATACGATCATCTCATCTAGACATTACTAATGTCACATTTTACAAATATACGCTTAACATAATCCATTTACTTGTATGTATGCTTCGTGAAACTGCTGGTAAACGGATATACGAGTAGATTCAGACAAGAGATTTCTTACTGTTAAACTGATTTCCCAAAATTTATAGAACATAAACAAACATGATACATAGATGTATATAATATCAACAATGTCTGTATATGATTGATATTTGTTGAAAAAATACATGCCCGATACATAATGAAATGGTTTTTGAATAATTGTTAAAGCCATAATCGATTTATTCAACCAAAGCATGCGCGCTAAGCCTTATTTTAATCGATAGTTCACTTGAAGAAACATGAAACCACAAACAAGAGTACTATTTCAAATCAATACAGGGATATTGTCTTCCTTTAATTAATTGCTTTTGTTTTCACTTCAAAAGCGGAAGAACTTAATGACTGAAGTTAGTAAAAGGTGATTTTCGGTTTAAACACAAACGACAATATCAATACATAGCCCATATGTAAAGTGTTGTTTTTTTTTTTCAATGTATAATTAATCATACCGAACCAGAATATTAACCCTTTTTCGGCCATCTTAGGATTTAAACATTCCGGAGACTTCAATCTAACAGATGGTATATATAAATCTTATTGTTAGCTGATATAAAATTGCTGGGAGCCATTTAGCTAGTAAATTGATTTAAAACCATAAGCTTCAAATAATGGTATTTAAAATAAACATACGTGTAATTACATGCAAGCCCATTTATCTATATAAACGTTGCTATAATTAGGAAAAAAAACGAGAACAGACAAAATAAATTGATTTTACATTATGTTTAAAATAAGTAAGTTAACATTTTAATTAATTCAACAACTACGATAAATATAAAATAAACATCATGTTACCTTTTAACACTTTCT